ATCAGTACCTGAAACTTTGCCTGGTATGCGTGGATTGCACACACTTGATCGACGCCATACTTTCTGCAAGGGGTCTTTACCATCTTCACAGTTATGACGTACTTCGTGCCAATGAACCCCTGTAATGGAAAAGAAAGAATTACAGCAAATGAACCCCTCCTCCTCTTCCCCTTTAAACACCCCTACTGTCCCCTGTGAGCCAAGAAGCTCACCAATGACTAGAGAAAACACAAACATCAACACATTGCTATGGTAGCCTTGCCTCAGGTTTCAAGAGGAGAGCCAAATAAACTTTTAAAATACATGACTCATCAGCATATTAACCAATCTTTAGCAAAGACGTGCTTTATCTCGGGTTCCTTTTTTTTCTAAACCCACACTGCTCTTTTGTTCGGGCGGGCCAATGGCTGCCTCAACACAAGCATACAAAACATTGCCGACCTACTGTTAAAGCTAGGTTGAGAGGATGAGAGGACATTAACGTGACAAATTAAGAAGCCAGTCATATTTGGGGGGAGTACCAACGCCATTAAGAAGGCATATAGCAAGTAAATTGTATGTAACGGCCTCTAGGACCCTGGGACTTTAGTTTAGTAGTTAAAAGCGAAACCTTTAAAGGGTGCTTCGCAGGCCTTTTCTTAAGGGCTCACATCACTACGATGGTTTACTGGATTGCTTTCCCCTAAAGAACAATTCAGTTATTCACGAATCTGACCGTTACTCACCTGTGACTGAACCTTGATCACTTTTACCACTTGCCTGATGTACAAGTCGTTGCTGTCTCTGTTGTGTTGGATGACGGCGAAGCGGAGAGCGTTTTGCACGTCTTTATCATTGATATTAGCGTCTGTCAAGTCCCCACCCGGGAACCCATACCCAACGGTCAAAATGGCCGCAAGAACAGTCAAAGCGACCTTCCACATCTTGTTTCTGTTGCCTAACAAACACACAGGAGACGAAGTGAAACACTCCCCACCGTGCCCTCCCAGTTATATCAACATGGACATCACCGTGCCGGAGGAGTGGCACATCTGGCACATCTCGCAGCCAATCGGCAATCCCCACAGCAGAGAAATGTGACTACTATGGAGTGTTAGGGTTGAAAATGATTAAATAAAGCTGTTTTTATTATTTTTAAATACACAACGCAATGTGCTCATAAACGAGTTGGCCCTCTAGGTTTTGAGGGTTAAAACGACTTGTCCAGTTGTATGTCTGGGCTGAAATATTGACAATGAACATAGAGCGCTTGAGGGTTTTTGCTACATGCTTACACGTCACACTAGATAATGTTTAGAAGGATATTCTCTCGCCAAAGGGAGTTTGAACAGAATGTCCTGAACTAGATATATATAGAATCAGTAGTAGGATAATAATAAAATAATCAAGGCTAGGCAGGGAGGTGTTTTCGTGTCTGTCTCTGTCATTCCTCGAAAAAAGAGCAAACAACGGGATCGGGATGAGCGGATGTAAGCAGAAGAAGACAGACATAATAATTATTTGTTATTGTTGGGTTACAAAAACTGTACGACCCGATCAGGGTTATCCTTCGTGTGAAGAAAGATGGCTGTGTTCACATTGAGGTCCTTGTAATTCCAACTGCCGGAGCAAATTAAATATTTTAAACGACACATATTTCTCCTGTACTTCCTTCTGAAGAAAACTGAACATGACAGGAAAAGAGGAAACTACTGAACATGTTATATGACACTGACAGAAAAATCAGGTGGCGAGAAGACAACTGTCTCAAAACCTCAGTAATATAAAAACAAAGCTAGATCTTATTGATTTACTGCAAAAGGACTTGAGTGAAAGTTATCAGGACTTATTCCAGTTTGTTAAAGAGGGTAAATTGTTTGGGAGGATTTGAGTTTGTTTGTTTTTTTTGAGCGACGTCCAGTCCATACTCCAGACCAGTTGATGGCGGTAATGCCCCATCTGTTGTTTGCCAACCGCCAATAACATTTAGAAGAAGAATAAAAATAAGAAAAGTCCTGCAGCAGAGATCGCGTATCCAGGCTGTTGCTGTGAACTCGTTCAGGCTCTTTGCGTCTGCACAACCAGCACTCAACTGCCCACGGTTAGCTGCGAAAAATCAAACAACTTATTTGATTTGATTTCCGCACATGCGACTTTTGAAGTGCTGTGCCGCGTTAACAAAAAAAAAAAAAAAAAAAAAAAAAAGGGGAAAAAAGCATTCTTGACCTCTGTCCCATTGTCCAAGTCTATAGTCACCTGTGGACGCCCACTCTTGGAACAGCATGATGCAAAAACTGCAGATTTTGGAGTAGGGACGCACTTAACTCTACACTTTAGATGAGTCGGAATTGAACCCTAACCCTCACTAGGCACAAGACACTTTAACATCCCACTCGCACGATGTACATTTTCAGATTTTCAATTGAAAATTTCCAGATTGTTATATAATTCACTTCCTTACTGTACATAATGTCCTCTTTTTGTATATAATTTACTTACTGTATATAATGTTCTCTTTTTTGCAGAGTCGAGGAGCGTTTCAGGACACATTTCACTGCGTGTTGTACTCGTATAACTAGGCATGTGACAAATAAAAATCTTGACTCTTAAATTTGGGTCCTTTCCAGCTTGCCGCACACAGACGTTTCATGACAGACACAGGGTGTACTGTCTTTTTTGGTTTATTTTTAAATCATAACTTATACACAGATATAACTTAAAACAAATCTTAATGATCAGATTATACCTGTCATACGTTGGCATGTGGAGATGGTTGGTGTCTGGCAAATACAGATGCACCGCAGTATAGACTTTGTGGTTCACTCTTCTGCCAGAAGACACTTGGGAAACATCAAACCCTGTCAAATGGAAAGTATTTACATTAATTTCTTTCTCTCCTTTTTATTAGGTTTATTTAGGTTATCCAAGCAGTTTGTATTTAATGCAGGAAAAATGTCCATATGATTATTAAACTTTTTATTAGAATATTGTACAAAGTGTGTGTTTTGTCTATAAAACTGTATGTGTAAATAGTAACAGCTGTCAAATGTAGTGACGTAAAAGCCACCGTATTTATTTCGTGCTTATTTTCTGCAGTGATCTGAGCTCACCTCCTATCATGAAATAAGTGCTCCAATCAACAGCATTCTCGTCTGTCAGCATTTTCCTCAAACTCTGTTCATCCGTGCTGTAGTATGCCATCTTTTTATTGAAATTCAGGGCACGCTTGTTCTGTGAAACAAACAAAAGCTGTCACAATCACGTGACAAACGAAAGATTTCCGTCGAGAAAATCTGTCCACAGTTTTCCGACGGGATTTAAACACACCTCGGGGTCCGGTCTGCAGATGATAACTTTAAAATCAGGCCACGTATCGACCACAACTTCCAGTGTAGTCGGTTT